ATTACATGCTTGCGGGTGATCGAAAGAATAATACACATACCTACTCGCTAATTACGAGTAGTATAATACAATGTATGTTTATGTCTGCCCCTAGATGACTGGGGAATGAGGTGCTTGGTGCATGTCCGGTTTGCTCTTCAATGAATTAACATAGGTGGAGAGGACAACCGCTTCGGGCAGGGTGTTCAACGCTGCAGCCAATCTGTTACTGAAGAAGAATGTTCGTCCATTTATCGTTGCTTCACCGGTACGTAGTTTAAGTGGATGACCGCACAAAGCGGGCGTTTTAGCCCGGATAAAGAAATCATTGGGGATGAAGTTTGTGTTGGGGCTAGGGTACGGGTATTGATTAATCTCCTGGCACTGTAGTGCAAGGCCTACCTGATTTTCTAGCCCTCGCTGCTGTCAGAGCCTGAGAAATGAGACCCAAGGCGGAGCGGGACAAGTGAGTTCCGTTAGCGACGGGTGTACATTAATCAAATAGTGTCAATATTTCCCGACCTAAACCGACAAGACAACGAGCTCCTGAGTGAATGGTTAGAGCGTTAGACTCTGATCGAAAAGGTCGCGAGTTCGAGCATCCAGTGGTGCACCACGTTGGTCTGGATATGACTGGCTGACGACGGCTAATAAGCGAAAAATGGTAATTCCAATTGCTCTTGTCTTTGCCAGCAATACTATCTGCCTAGACTATTACCCACTACAGCTGCTGCCAGGGCCTTGGAAATGAAGCCAAACACAAAGTCGGGGCGGGACATGGGAGTTCCGTTAGCGTTGGTGAAAGTTAATCAACGGGTATCAATACCTCCCGACATAACCGATAAGACAACGAGCTGGTGGCTCAATGGCAACAGCGTTAGACTGATTGAAAATGTCGCGAGTTCAAGCCTCGGATAGTGCACCATTTAGGGTTGGGTATGACTGGCTCACGACGGCTAATAAGCCAGAAATGGTCATTCCAGTCGGAATAATGAGTATGCCTTCAAAACACTAATGCCGATTTATGGTTTCTTTCTCGCTCCCTTTAGTTGACGTTATTCGATGTGGTTCTGGCCGGCCAGAAGGCATCTGCTCTTGGACTTGCTTACAGGGCTCTATACCGCGTCCGGCCAATCACCGACTCGGAGCAGGGCTCGCCAGGCAATCGGGTAGCCCAGATGCCCAGTCCGCGTGCGGGTCGCAGCAATAATGTCTCAGCAGCCTACCTTTCGGCACGAAACACCGCCGGCTCCCCCATCTCAACCCTCTCTGGACAGACAGGAAGCGACGCCGCCAACCATTCCGTCTCCCTTACCTCTGCCTTTTCATCACCTGGCCGAAATAGGTACTGTTGCCTTCTTGCAATGCGTTGTTCTAATTAGCCTGTGTTTCGCTTCTGATACTACCTTCGTATTGCATCCTCCTTTTTTGCAAAAGCCCTATTTCTTCAGTTCTCTTTTCGATGCTACGCCTTTTGGCATCCACACTCTTATTAAGCTGCCTTGAACCCCCAGCCTCCTCGGTTTAACGGGATACTTTTCAAAAAAGTGCCAAAGACATCGTTATGTCGTACTTTATTTCAATTCTGTCTCCACTTACGCATACATTCTGTGATTTCTCTGCCATTTGCAAAATTTGAGTGAAATTCTAGAACTTACCCCTCCAGGGGCATCACTGCTGTTTGGTGCAGCAAATTTTAGATTAGATTTTAGATTTTTAGATTAAGAACGCA